AGTGTGTTCACTATTTAACAGTTTCTTGAAAGATCAATGCCTATATGACAAGTGATCTGCAAGAAAGAGAGAAGGAAACGTCTGTAGTATTTGAATTTGTGTCAGTAACTAAGTTATAAGCAGGTTTCAGAGTAGCAGCCGTGTTAGTCTGTATCGGCAAAAAGAACAGGAGTACTTGTGGCACCTTAAATTTGTTAGTCTTTAAGGTGCCACAAGTACTCCTGTTCTTTTTAAGTTATAAGCAGTTGCTGGAGATCTTCAAATTGCAACTAATTTTCTTTTCACATGATGAGAGAGTAACAATCAATGAAGAATATCCAAAGTCTTTAGAGACATGTTCTGATTTAAAGCATTCAGCAAAGAACAACAATTATATTTAAACAGACAGGTTGTAGACCTCAAATTAGACCCAGCCATGGGTTTGTTTTTCAGGTGTACACATGTACACACACACCCCTCACTTTTGGCGGGGGGTCTCTTCCATTGTCATGAGCAAGCATAGAACTGAGTCCTGCTTAGAAGCGGAATTTCTGCACAGTCCAAGTCTTCTGCCTGCTCCATAACATAGAAAAAGGAACAACATATGCATGTTTTAGCAGCAGTCCAGTGTTGTGAATTTGCTACATGATTTCCAGTCTGGAGAGCAGCCATCATGCACCACAGATGAGCCCAAGAGAGATACAGATGGGTAATTAAAAGTTGAAGAACACACCTTCTAGTCCAGACACAAAGCAAACAGACTCTGTAGCATGCCCTAACTCCCCCAGGATGGGAAAGAGGAGTTCAGAGATCAATACGAGCTTAAGGAAACTTCATATTTCTCACTCACATGAGAGACTGATAATTTTTCCAAGGATAAAGAGATATAGGGGTGGGTTAGAATGAATGGATTTTAGTACTTTCTTTTTAGAAGGAATCTGGTTAGATTACCATTATTGATTGACTGGGTAGATAAATAAATTCACTTCCAAACAAGCAATTTGTTTCTCTTCAGCCCCCCATCTTTGAATGTCATGCATTTAATTTACACCCCACACCCCCCTTATGTTTGACAGTTTCCCTCTATTTTTCTTCAAACACAGGTGCAATCTTTCTTCATCAGCATACCCCGTTTAATTCCCCCTACCTCCACTACTGTTTATGGTAAGGAGTATTTATTTCTCTTTTCTCCTTTAAATATTCACACACTCTGGTGCTTGAACACCAAGATGATAAATGCCTTAGAAGAATCTATCCTAGGCTCTTAGTACTCTACATAATACTAGTTTGAATTTAAGTAATCTCTACGGACCAGAGACTGCAAGTCAAAACAAGGATAAAAGGTGTAATGTAAGGTGACAGACAGCAACTAAAAATCTTTACACCAGAAAGGGACTAATATGGATAAATACTACAAAATAAAGTCAATTCCTAGTTTATCTGAAAACAAATTGACTAGCAACTATTTTATATCAAAAACATGTTATGAATAAGTAAGAACAGCATAACCTGGAGACCACCCTTTTCAATTACACTTAGAGCTGATGCTTGTGAGTAAGTTTGCTTGATTTTTACAAACTAAGGTACAAGTTTCACATTAATCTTCCATAACCTTATAAAACTATAATATTAAATTGACACACACAAGAACAAGTCAACATATACACGTTAATCAACACCCTACAGACAGGATAACATCTGCAATAACTGTTCAGGCAAGAATCCCACCAATTTCTTCCATGGGGAATCCTGAGTAAGAAAAAATATTTGATCCTCTCTTTAGAGCAAGAGTCCAAATGCATTTCTATTACCCTTCTAGTGTTCTGTATCCATTAACAAGGCAGGACCAGTTTACTTACGGCATAGCTCTGTAGGTGTCTGTATAAACTCGATTTTCGTTAACTTTCTCAGAAACAGAGTAAACCATGGAACTGGCAACTCGATCTGGGTAGTCCACTACTGGTTCTGCATTTACATTTTTTACCTAGTAAAAGAGAGACATTAAGATACACAACATCTCAGTTTTGTGGCTGAAAGCTTTTTTCTTTTCTCTTTTTTTTTTTTTTTTTTTTTTTTTTTTTTTTTTTTTTTTTTTTTTTTAAATAAACACCTTTAGCAGTTCACTCTCAGTTTTGTTTGATTTTTAAAATAAATTAAAGAAAGCATTTTCAGAACTAGGATTACACAAATTATTCAAAAATGTTCCTATATGTACAGCAGATGATTGAGACACTAGCACCACTACGATGAAGTCATCAGCTCTATTTTAATACTAGGGTAGCACTGACCAAAGAGAAGTGGAGACTCAGATTGAAATAAGGTGACTGAATGCTTCTGAGGGCTGAGCTCGTGTGTGCATGGGGGATTGTAGTCTGAAGACCCCTCACATGCTAGACATCACTGAGGACCACGGAGGACCAAAAATAAATAAATAAATCATTTAGTGCCACAGCAGTTTCACCCTTTTTGGCACAGGAGGCTCTAGGCCCAAAGCATGAGAGTCCTGTGTTTGTGTTATTTTTAAAGAAATTTGATTCCACTGCCCATTGTTACATGAAGTATTTGTGCCATGGGTATTTCTGAAACAAGATAGCTTACAAGTATATGAAAAAAAGTGTTACACTTGCAGTACCATGGAATAGTTTTATCATATTCAGGTAAGCCTCAGCAGCTGCTTCATATCAGTGCCAGATTGATGGATGGAGGGTTGACTACATTAATCTTCCCCATGCCCATTACTACTCTCTTTTGGGGGTCAGTTTGAAGGAAGTGGAGCAGTTTTGGAACTGGAAGCAGAAATAGTACAGAAAGGGTGGGGGGGGCGGAGAAGAGAAGGAGAAGATTGTTTCATTTGAAGCGTAACTTTTATTTATAGTTCTTTAAAAGATGCCATTAAGAGTGACCTGAGAATTGAAAGAGGCAGGCTTTCAAAGTGTGAAGATGAGAGTAGAAGGAGTAGATTAATGTAGTTGGCTGAGAAACAATAGGACTTTTAGAGCAACTGGGTGATCAGCTTTATTTGTAGCCCCAATTCAACAAGTTATTTAAACACGAGTAGATCCATTAAAGTCAAGGGAACTATTCACGTGCTTAAAGTTTGGCACGAGCTTAAGAACCTTTCCGAACTGGGCCCCTAATGAACTAGATTGCACTCAGTGGATCTAAATATGACAGGTATGTTTGTAATGTACGTCTCTGTAGTGTCCTCCAGCATTAAGCATTATAGAGTCTTAAATTTATATTTGGGTATTGTGTACACGAAACTTGATTGTTTGCCAGACTGCCTACCCTTCACAATTCAGACAGAAGAGGGCTTTATTCTCAAAGCTGTGTCTAATCTATATATCTAGAGATTTTAATGTTGTGAAAATATGCAGGCATGAAATCCCTTTAGGGTTTCTTTGAACAAAAGGGTGGCTCAACTAGTTTTTCCAGTTCTACAAGTGCTTTACATATACAAGTGTTTTCCAAGGAAGAGTCTCAAAACAGTCAATGTTCTTCCATATTTTATTTGATATGGCATTAGAAGTATTTTTTTAACTCCAAAATATCATTTAATTGATTTTTCCCTGCTTTTTTAATAACTAGCGATCTCCATGAATAGAGAAGGGTTTAGGGTTGGCACAAGATGTCAATATCCTGCATCTCCCCTTCAATACCAGTTTTTCAAATTCTACCGTGGGACTATTATGCCAATGTTCTTGTTCCCACTAATCACAGCAGATGTAGCCACCCTAAAAGCAGACATGATGGCCTAGTCAGTGCATTCTGTAACTGCTAAGCCAGGAGAAAAGTGCTTATCATACCAGAACAGGTTCAGTCTAATTGTGCTCCTCCTGCTGGTGAAGCAGAGGCCGCACCAGCATGGCCTGGGGCTAGGAGACATACCATACAGACACTCAATAGTAAAGGTGAGGGGGAAGAGAAACACACAAAAGAATAGGAACAAATAAGAGACCTAAGTTCATCTCCACTAGTAAAATTTATACATATAATTCACCACCACTGATGGAAGTTGTAACATAGGCCTGGTCCACACTACCCCCCCACTTCGGACTAAGGTACGCAAATTCAGCTACGTTAATAACGTAGCTGAATTCGAAGTACCTTAGTCCGAACTTACTGTGGGTCCAGACGCGGCAGGAAGGCTCCCCCGTCGATGCCGCGTACTCCTCTCGCTGAGCTGGAGTACCGGCGTCGACGGCGAGCACTTCCGGGATCGATCCGGGATCGATTTATCGCGTTTAAACCAGACGCGATAAATCGATCCCAGAACATCGATTGCCTGCCGTCGGACCCTCTGGTAAGTGTAGACGTACCCATAGCAAAGGTTCAGGCTGTAGCCACCACGTCAACTGTTGTGATACTATGGTAAAGATGCCCAAGCCCTGGCGTCACTGCAGCTTTCACCCTTACTCTCATCAGTAGTCAATTGCTGCTACAAAGTTTGCTGGCATGGACAAGGCTCCAGAAAGGTAGATAGAAATGAGAAAGAAGCTACTTAATTTAGGATGGCAATGGGCAAGAGACAAACAAAACCTCTCAGAATGCTGCGCTGGTAGGATCTCAACTCTCTTACTCTCCCCCACACACTACAGACAAGGGAAAAAGCAGCATCAACTTCTAAAAACCTATATTGCAGTAAAAAATGAGTGTTACTGATGAACCACATACAAAGTTTGTGCATTGGCTCAATGACAGGAGCTTGAAAAATATTTTTATCTCCTTCTCCCTTCCCAGCTGTGGGAGTCAGCTCTGTTAGCTGATAGAATGTTCAAGTGCACACAAAAGCCTGCACTTTTTGCCTTAGAAAAAGACACCTGTAGATTATACTACACTGCTTACAGGAAAAAGAGGGGGGTGGGGGGGGGGAGAAACAAAACCTGAGGAGAGGGAGACACAATTAATATAATAAAACAAAACAAAAACCCAAGCTAGTAAATGGATGTATTTCCTTAAATAAAAGTCCAAATAAGGTTGTTCGTAAGTGCTCAATTCTTTTTCAACATAAAAATCTTTGAAGAATAAGGGTATGGCTTCACAAACTTGTGCCAATTTAATTACATTTAGCTGAACTACTGAAAACCTACGTGGGTACATTCCCATCTGTTTAAGCCTGGCAATGTAGCTTGCCCCTGTAAATTTACATTCAAACCAACATAAGCCAGGTTTAAATCAATGTGAGAGCATCCACAAAGTCACACCAATGTAACTAAATTGGTTACTAAAAGTCACACCCCTTACATTATGCGAGTGCAACTCTGTACTTAGACCAGACTTTAGGGCAGGAGGAAAATATGACAAGGAAACACTGATTTAAGCAACACATTTGGATATCCACCCTTTAGCAACTGTCCTTCAGTAAGGCTACATCTACACTAGCACCTTTGTAAAACTTTTGTAGGTCAGGGATGTGAAAAAACACACACCCCTGACTGACAAAAGTTTCACCAACAGACGCGGCGTTGTGGACAGCACTATGTCAGCATACAGTGGCTACACGGGAGACCTTACAGCGGTACAGCTGCTGCGGTACAGCAATGCTGCCGTAAGGTCTGTAATGTAGACACAGCCTAAGAAAGCAATGTAACTTATTCTGGACAACATGAGCTTTAAAGGACAGGACACAAACATAGCTTGCATTTAGATAAAGCATCAATGTGTTTTCCTCTTCAAACACACATGAACAATTGCAAATTAGAGCAAAAAGTTATGACAGACATTCAACAAGATTTATCAGCAGAGGAAACATTTAATTGTCCAATTTAGGAAAACTCATGCAGAAGTCATGCATTTTAAATCCACATTAGTGTCTAGTTATTCCCAGTTAAGTCTGTTTTGACAGTGTTTTCACTAATGCATGAGTCTTTTACGGCTAGGAAGAATTCAAATCTTGATTAGGTCACAAATGAGAGTTTGGAGGTTGGAACTAAGACCTCAGAAAAAACGCATTGACTTTGACACATGGAAAAACAGCACATAATTGGAACAATGTAAATTATCTACTTAGGATGGAGAAGTAGAGATCTAGAAATGGCAAATCAGAATGGAGATATTTTGGCAGAACTTGGCTGGTAGAGCAACAGGAAAGAGCTGGGGAAGTTCTGGGGAGAGGTCTTACCCAGTGCTTTCAGGGTATTATAGGCTCCATGCTGCGAAGCATGGCCAAGCTATCCCAGAGCTGCAAACCCTGGAAGCCATCCATTGCCTGACTTTTGTCAGAAGTTCATCGAAACTCCTATGTTTCCATGAAACATTTTGTTTTCAACAAAGTGGCATTTTCCAACAAAAACCACTTGCATCAGAAAGTTCAGAACCAGTTCTACCAGTGGACCCCCATTCCCACGAGAAGTCTTCCAGTGGACCAGGAAAATAGACTTTACTTGTACTTGCCTGATATCTCTACTTTGTTTTTTTAAAAGAAGACTTCTCACATCATCTTTATAAAGCAGTCAAAAAGAAAACAAGAAACCACAAACCTCACCCCCAAAAAACCCTGAACTTTAAAAACAAAATCTCTCTCCTTAATATCACTTAATATCTCAGTCACTTAATATCATACTTGTTCAGGGGTTCTCAAACTGAGGATCGGGACCCCAAAGTGGGTCATGACCAGTGTTCTCTCTAATTTTTCCTCACACGTGTGGAATTAATTTTATTACAGAAGCTCCCCGACTTACGCAAGTGTTCTGTTACGCAACAAAAAATAAAATAAAATAAAAAAAAGTGGACGGAACTTTTTCCATAAATCCGGATTTCCGTAAGTCGGGTTTGTGTAACCCAGGGAGCGTCTGTATGTGCACCAATATGGAGATGTTGTGTCACACATCACCTCCATATTGGTGCACATAAACTTCATGTGGTGGGGTGGGGCCAAGAGGTTCCGAGTGTGTGAGGGAGCTCAGGGCTGGGGCAGAGGGTTGGGGTGTGGGATGGGTTCTGGCTGGGGTTGAGATGAGGGGATTGGGATGCAGGAGGGGGCTCAGGGCTGGGGAAGAGGGTTGGGGTGTGTGCTCTGGGGTGGGGCCAGGGATGAAGGGCTTGGGGCCCAGGCTGCCCCGGGGCTAGGGTGGGAAGAAAGGACTCATCCCAGCTCTCTCTCTTCCCAGCCACGGCAGCTCCGGCAGGCCTGGGCCTGTTGACCTGCATGGCGACTGCGCAGCTTACAGGGAACCTAGGTCGTGACTCCATTTTAATGGAGTTGCCGAGGCTGGTGTTGGGCCCCAGCAAGTCTGAAGCTGAAACCCAAACCCCACTGCCCAGGACTACGGTTACATGGCCCCCACCCCAGGGCAGAAGCCTTTGGGCTTCAGCTTTGGCCCCCGCCGGTGGGACTCAGGTGGGCTCAGTCTCCCCTCCTGGGGTCATGTTGTAATTTTTGTTGTCAGAAGGGGGTGACAATGCAATGAAGTTTGAGAACTGCTGTATTAGTTGTGCTGTCCTAAGAACACATACAAGATTTGGTTAATTTCAATACAACAACATGATATAATAGGCAAGCCCCCGATGCATGCCTCCGGTGTGTTGTGAAGGAAGTGTGCTTCCCCTTGAAGTCCTAATACGAGCTGAGATGACAGGCAGAGAAACTTCAAAGGGAAATCACAACACTTCCCTTCCAGCCCAGCTGTTACGCTGGAGAAATGACTGGGCAGCGTTTAAGCTTAAATTCATTTTAGGGACTTGAACTACAGACTTTGCCTTCCTTTGCAGCCAAAACAAGTCACAATTTAAGAGGGTTCTGTGCCCAGTTGTGCCACACGTTTCCTGTGTAACTTTTAGTAAGACAAACCCTCAGCTCCTCAGTCTGCCAAACAAATCTGTGCACATCCTACATTAAGAGATCATTTTGGTGAGGAATGAACCCAGGTACCACAGTGATGGGTGCGCTATCAGAACCTGAATAAGAGGGGTAATTGTCAATCATTCTTCACTTTTGAAAGTTAGTCCTATTCAGTTTGGAAGTTAGAGGCAAAAATGGTCTCTGTCAGTATATTCTCTCCTTCCTCTGTCTCATTGGCTGTGAAGCATGATTACTTTTCAAAAATGACAATTTCTTCAAAATCAGGAATAGAACAATGTTTTAACAAAGCAATTTCAAGACCTCCCTACATTTCATGTCATGTCATAATGAGATTTTTCTGGGCAGACAGAGACATAAGACACTTAGCAAAAACTTCACACAGAAAACAAAATCTTTTCACCTCAAGAAGTACTCACTTAGTTCCATATAAAATGCTCAGAGACTCTTCTAGTTCTCAAGGAGACCTAATCCTAGAAGTTTCTTAAGATGAAGAGTTTCAGGGGATTTGTTTTTGTGTGGAGTTACAAGATTGATTAAAAAAACAAAACAAAAAACAAAAAAACCCACCATTTTCAAAATAATCATGAATATTTTGGCAACTATGAAGAAGCTACCACCACATTCCCCAACACAGTCAGTACTGGAACCTTGGCTTGGTATCCAAAACCAAACATCTACGCTTTAAGCTAAAAGGAGACCATCATATACAGAAAGAAAAAAAACACCACGGCCCTAATTATTTTTAGGACACTGCCAGCCATTAGAGGACAACACGTTCACATGCACAGTATCCAATTCTTCCACTGCAGTGGCAAAGTACTTCCACCATCATCACTTAGAGTAGGATTGGGTCCCAAAACAATAAGTTAAACTCTTTTTTTCAGATAAAGCCAGGACATGAACTGAAGGAGATTCAACTACCTAGAAAATGTGAAGGGGTAAAAAACAAGCTATTACAGACCTATGAGGAGACAAAAGAAACTTAAAGCAGAAGTTTCTAAAAATGTAATTCAAACAAGTTTATAAATGTATTATCCTTTACTTTCAGAATATATCTGGCAGTTTTCTGGCCAAATAATCTTCCAAGCCATAAATTCTAAGAGATAAAAAGAGACCTTTGCAACAGAAACTAGCTGAAACCTTAACTATGGAGAGGCTAGCACCTCTTTATACTGACAAAAATAAAAAACAAACAAAAGACATCAGATAGCCAATCATCAGGGTTTTAAGTTTTACTGGTAGTTTCCTATATATTCCCTTTTCTGCCATCTTGAAACATGAGTAAACAAGTAATGAAAAGACACACCCAGAAACTGTCTCACCGAAACATTTACTTCAAATGATTCTTTATAGCAGTTCCCAGTACAGTCCTGGCTCATGACCTTTACCCAAGGAGCACAGGTAGAATCACATGAGTCATAACACACTTACAGAGGTACACAATTAATACTGTGAACATAGTTACAAGCATTAAGAAATCAAGTACCCCTGAAATTTAGTGTTAGGTATTAATCCAAAGTAAATCAATCTGGGCTTTTTGAAAGCAACTACAAGTAAAAGTTAATAAGGATGTTTCCCAAAATTGGATAACAGATCTCACAACCCAGTTGCTAGGTTAACTGGGAGACTACATCAAAGTACTGTTGCAGTTTTATGGGTTTCCTCTTCTATATTCTTAGCATCATTGTATAGATGGATCTGATTACCTCAGACCATCTGTTTACAGAGTACACCTCTACCCCGATATAACGCGACCTGATATAACACCAATTCAGATATAACGCGGTAAAGCAGTGCACCTCCTAGATGAGAATCTGCTTGTGAGAAGGGTCCCTGAAGAGGGATGGGGGAGTAAAAAAATAATTTTACTGTTGGAGACAACCCACTGTAGAAGCTGAAAACAGACACCTACTTTAACAATGGCTTTCTGAAGTGCTTTTGCTCTATTCCATGTGCAAATGGACTTGTTATTGTAGAGTTGCTCTTAGTATTACACTGTTGGTAATTTTTTGTCCAGATTTTTTAAATGGGAGTTTTACATGTCACTTCTTATGGAGGTGAGTCAAATTTGGGGCATAGAAACCTTGAGCTTGAGAAGAAATTTGAGGGTTTGTACCAGTTTAGAATAAGCATCCAATATTAAACTTACCCATTCTTCTACATTGGGGGGATCTTCTTCATAAACCTTTGCTTTATCCCAGAGAATGTTCATTTTACCATAATAATTCATCTGATTTCGGGTCTTTACAGAAAAATATATGATTATGGCAAGAGCCACAATAACCAAGAATCCCAACACAATAGCAATAGCCTAAAAAAGAAAAAAAAAATATGTAGCAGATATTTATTATTTGGTTTAAAGACAAAACCATCCATTCAAGGTGCCAAAAATCAGTTCAGAGCCCCCCCTCCAGAAAAACACCCACAAACAGCTGCCGTCTCCTCCACCTCCATGTAAGTCAGCATCCTAATCCAAATTAAAAGTCCAACATCTTCCCATTAGATGAACATCCCCCAATTTCCAGACCAATAAATGGGCTTTGGAGCACACTGAGGAGACCAAATTGAAGCTATTTAAGACTAGTAGAGGAGTAAATCCTGCTGGAAAACTGTCCCCCCCGCCCACACATACACTTTTATATCAAAGCAGATGGATCTTGGGCACCTGCACTGATTTCAGCTGTGCCTGTATGAAACATGAAGAGAACTGTTCTGCAGGACCACCACCTAGTCAACACTTTTTTTTTTTTAAATAATTCCTCAAAGGTGACATGAAAAGGATTTTTTTTAAATTGAGCATCTCCTTTTTTGCTTTTTTAATTTTTAAACTTAAAAAAAAAAGTTTTAAACCAGAAACATTAGGAAAGTCAAGTTTTTTCTCCCAGTAAAACCAGAAAGGGACCTTTCAGGAGGTTTCAAGCATGTTTACTAAGAGCTTTAATACCTTTATTGAAGAGGAGTCAAGGATGTTAGATCTTTAGCAAAGGCCTCCTTGATCCCAAATGTGAATTTAACTTAAATTAGGTTTATAAAGAAGAAAGTGAATGAAAACTAAAAGTGACTTGAGAGGTCAATTTTCACTCACATGGCTCATCTGACATCACCCTGAGGCCTTATCTTCACTGAACAAGGAAGAGAGAAAAAAAAAAAAAAAGTGTGTTCTTAACTTGAGTTAACTAATTTGAGGTAAAATCCTAATGAAGGCAAGGCATTTTTGTAGTTTTCACACAAGGTATCAGGTCAGATTAGATTTCCCCTGAAACAGGTTGAGGCTAGGTCTACACTACGGGGGGGGGGGGGGGGCGACCTAAGATACGCAACTTCAGCTACGTGAATAGTGTAGCTGAAGTTGCGTATTTTAGGTCGACTTACCTGGCTGTGAGGACGGCGGTGAGTCGACCGCTGCCGCGCCGCCGTCAACTCTGCTTCCGCCTCTTGCCGCAGTGGATTTCCGGAGTTGATGGAAGAGCCATCGGGGATCGATTTTATCGTGTCTTCACTAGACGCGATAAGTCGATCCCCAATAGATCGATTGCTACCCGCCGATTCGGCGGGTAGTGAAGACGTGCCCTGAGTCAAAGCCTACTGAGGAGCCTAATCTTAGGCTTGATAACCTGTACAAAAACTACAAACCATCTCTTCACTAAGATTTTACCTCAAGTTAAAAATATCTTCTCCTCCAGTGAAGACAAGGTTTTACAATAGAGTTCTCCAAACCTCAGATACTTTCAGTCAGACAGAATCCAAATTTCTGAGAAAGTTTAAAACAAAACAGAAAACCTCCCAAACACTTTCAGGCCTTCTTTGCACAGCATAAAGGACAGCAGCCCAGTTTTCTTTCCCCTCCCTCCCATGCTGGTCACCTTTAAAGGAAGCACCATCTCATGTAATCCCCCCCAGACGCCACATGCAGTTTTCCTTTGAGTACATTTTGGGGCCTTAAACAGAGCACGCACGCGTTTCAAAACATTAATCTACCTATATCTAGGGGGGAAAAAAAATCAACATGAGAAGGCAAGAGACCAGGGAAAACTGTGTTCGCTAATTAGGACAGGAGACCAAAAGTCTACTGTATTCTGCCATTAAACTTCACCAGCTCAGATCTTTTCTGTACATAAATTTAATTAAAATTAAATCTACTTTTTAGAAATGCAGGGATTAGTCAATAATATGGTTAACTGTGGTATTCTAAAGAAAAGGCCTACAGTACACAAGTTGTATTTATCTCAGGCTCTTTTAATCAAATATAGGTTTTCAAATTTAGTAATTTATAAAATTCTGTTAGCCCAACATATTAGTGACTGCAGTAGCTAAAGAATTATTTAAAAGGTATTATATGTATCATCACCAGGTCATATTGGACACCAAGAAGTGGTTATGGCTTATCAGTGTGACTTTTTTCTTGCATGGGTGCAATTAGTGCATAGAAATTTGATACAGGAGACTAGGTTAAAAAACACTGACAAAGAAACAAGACTCACATATAAAAATATCCAAAGTAGTCAGCTCCTTTTACTGTGACAGGGCAGGGATGTGTTGGGGCACTGGGACATGAGAAAAAAGGGTTGGCACACTAACAAATCACCACAGTTAAAAAGGAAAGGACTTTATTTTAACCTCCTAAAAGCTATTTGTATTTATTTTAAATTATTGTAATTACACCCATGCTCATGGATAGTGTGCTACGAAATTCACAGCCATAAAAAAATACATCATGGACCATGAAATCTGGTGGTCCCCCCTCCCCTCCCTCCCCCCATGAAAACTGGTCTTTTGTGTGCTTTTAACCTATACTATACAGATTTCACAGGGGGAGACCAGTATTTCTCAAATTGGGGGTCCTGACCCGAAAGGGAGTTGCAAGGGGTGGGCCTTGCAAGGTTATTTTAGGGGGAATTGCGGTATTGCCACCCCTACTTCTGTGGGCATCCAGAGAGTGGCGGCTGTTAGCCGGGCGCCGAGCTCTAAAGGCAACACCTCGCCAGCAGCAGCGCAGAAGTAAGGGTGGCAATACATACCATGCCATCCTTACTTCTGTGCTGCTGCTGGCAGCGGCTCTGCCTTCAGAGCTGGTCTCCTGGCCAGCTCCCGCCGCTCTCCAGCTGCTCAGCTCTGAAGGCAGCACCCTCACCAGCAGTTCTGCAATGCCCCCAGCCTTGCAACCTCCCCACAATTCCTTTTTGGGTCAGGACCCCTACAATTACACCATCATGAAATTTCAGATTTAAATAGCTGAAATGATTAAATTTATGATTTTTTAAATCCTATGACTGTGAAATTGACCAAAATGGACCATGAATTTAGTAGGGCCCTACTCATGAAGTTTACTATATTCCTGGAAGCATATAAAAGTTCTTCAGGCTCTTCATTTATTTTAGAAACACTCAGTGCAGTGGGTAAGGTAGAATTTGAAGGAGTTGGTTTACCGAGCAGAGAAAGTTTAGCTAGATTAGCTATAGATTTTGTACGACTGGTTTGTACTCAAAAGTGTTAGATGTACGATTTAGTTAGCTAAAGGGAAAAAACAAAACAAAACAGACATTAGTGCATACATACCTCTTGAGGCTCTACCACACAGTAGTGATACAAGTATTGATTCATAAAGATTCCTGTATTTGTAGAGGCATAATATTGGCTGCACAGAGCAACAAGTTGATTGTAGAACACTGATCCTGAAGCTTGTGCAGTTGGGTTTACTGCCAGTACATACACTATGGATGCAATGAATACCAAGAAGCCAAGGATAGCACTTACTATTATCACAATTAGATAATATCTTCTTGTTCTGGACATGCTTGAGTTGGTAACATTTATTATAAAAATCGCCATTCCAGCAATGAAGCAAAAAGCTGACATTGCAAGTATGAAGCCTTTAGCAGCTCGGGGCTCAATGTAATTTCCTCCAATGCCATAGGCTCCACCATATCCATATCCGGAGCCATAACCGTAACTGCCACTGTAACTGCCTCCAAAACCACCATATCCAGGATATCCTACACCAGATCCCAAAGAAGAACTTCCATAGAATTCTAGATCCCAAGGCAATGTGGAAGCAACACAAGCAAAGATGCCTACACACATCACTATAATGAGAACTGACATGATCTTTATTATTCCTGGAGGGGAAGTCCATTTGTAGAAGTGTTGCACTTCATCCTCTGGATAGTAGGAATACGCTGGTTGAGAGTACATGGGCTGAGAGCGCATCTCCTCAGCATATGTAATGTTGCTTGGTGCATAGTGAGAAGGTTTGCTGCAATAAGATGAAAACGTTATCAACTGAAGTTTTTAGCCAGCTATGAAAAACTATCTTACAAAAAAATTGTAGTGCATGACACTCATGCAATGAAATTATGAAGTTATCAGGAACAGACTAATTCAGGAAATGGTCAGAATTAGCCAGTTTTTAAAGAAGACCCCCTAAATTTAAATGGAATGCATATATTCCTCCAAAAAGACGGAATTCTATTCTCTCAGATGCTGTTACGATGGTTAGCTACAAATAATATTAGAAGAAGGTTGAAATTAATCCACTCTGACCATTGGCATTTAGAGATTACAGTAATAGGTGCTCTGGAAAACTTGGAAAGAATATTTAATAGTGATAATTTGCAGTATTTATTATACAAAATAGTAGGGCCCACATTTGTAAAGGTATTTAGATGGAATGGCACTCAACAATGCCTAACTGATTTAGAAGCCTAAATCTCATTTTCAAAAGGAATTTAGGCACTTAGGAGCCTAAACCCCATTGATAGTCAATTACTTGTTGCAACACTGAGCGCAGCAATGCCTAATTGACAGTTTAAATTTTATGTTTGATTAGTTTGCAGATCTAAGAGACAAAAAGCATCTTGTAAAGTGGTAAACAACCTATTAGAACACCCTACATGTGCCCCATGTGTTAGATAGATGTTTGCTTTTTCATTAAATAAGCAGCAAGGTACAGTCTAACACAGGGGTGGGCAAACTATGGCCCACGAGCCGGATCTGGCCCGCGAGCTCCAGCCAGGGCGCCGGATTGGGAGCCGCACCACACAGCTCAGCCCCGTTCCACGCATAGGAGCCGGAAAAAGGACATGCCACTGCTTCCGGGAGAGCCGCTTGAGGTAAGCGCCGCTCGGAGCCTGCATCCGAGCCTCTCCCCACGCCCCAACCCCCTGCCCCAGCCCTGATCCCCCTCCCGCTCACCAAACCCCTCGATCCCAGCATGGAGCAGCCTCCTGCACCCCAAACCTCTCATCTCCAGCCCCACCCCAGAGCCCGCACCCCCAGCAGGGAACCTGCACCCCTTTCCGCACCCCTACCCCAGCCCTGATCCCCCTCCGAACTCCTCGGTCCCAGCCCAGAGCACCCTCCTACACCCCAAACTCCTCATCCCCAGCCCCACCCCAGAGCCCAGACCCTCAACCAGAGCCCTTACCCCCTCACACACTCCAACCCCAATTTTGTGAGCATTCATGGCCCACCATACAATTTCTATTCCCTGATGTGGCCATCAGGCCAAGAAGTTTGCCCACCCCTGGTCTAACAGCAGCAACCTGATGATAGTTGACTCAGCTACTGTTAACAGTTGTATAAATGAGCTGTTAAAGATATGAACTCCAACTATGTACACTGCTTATCTGGGGTAAATGAAATTGGTAACCAAAGCAGAAAAGAGGATATTTACAATTCATCTGGTCGATAAGGTGGAGGACTTTCAAAAGGTCTGGATGACATAGTTGAAGTGCTTGGCCGCTAAATTCAGACTTATTTTTGGTAACTAGAAAAAAAAAAGTGACAGGCTTAGTAACAAAGCAATCTAAACAGCTTAAAGACATTATAGCTAGTATGATCACTTTACTATTAAGTAGTACAGATAGCTATTCAATCTCGAATAATAACAAAAAGACAAGTAAACAAATCAGTTTTTTTTTGTCAAGGCTTTCAACAATTAGAGCTTTCAATTCACCAACCGCAAACAAACAATTCCTTCTATTCTCCCAAAATATCCCCCTTCATAGGGGGAGGGATAGCTCAGTGGTTTGAGCATTGGCTTGCTAAACCTAGGGTTGTGAGCTCAATCCTTGAGGGGGCCATTTAGGGATCTGGGGCAAAAATCTGTCTGGGAATTGGGCCTGCTTTGAGCAGGGGGTTGGACTAGATGACCTCCTGAGGTCCCTTCCAGCCCTGATATTCTATGATGATCTTACACTTTTTTATACAGTGGTTGATCTTAACACTACAATTTCTCCCAAAAAGATCTTGAATTATTGAACAGCTTGCTCGATCTCTCAAGTAGTGACACCATGGAGAATTATTCATGATCATCTACATTTTCTTCTTTTTTGGAGGGGTGCATTAGTTTTGCCTTTACCCAGTTTGTTTACATACTGACACAAAGCAGTACAACATTTCAGATGACCATTGGTAGAGTGCATCTACTAGATTATCCCCAAATGTTGAATTAAATTGTATGTTTTTCTAAACAAGAGTGAGAAAAGACCTTTGTCAATCCGATTCCCCCATGAACTACAGCAAAAGAAAAGAGCAATAGGACTTGGCTATACTGGCTGGGAAACTTTTGTTATTCACGCATTCAAAAGAGTGACAATTTTATCCCCACCCCACCTTGCCTCCAGTGACAGCAAGTACAGTATATAGCAAATATGTTTTTGATGGTGGTGTTTCTTGGGTTTAGAGTCATTGTCTGTAGAGTGGAGTGCCAAGAGCTCTCTTTAGAATTATCCTTTTAAAATTATGGTTTGAAACAATAATGATTTCAGTCCCTGTAGTGGTTATCCTCATTAATTGCTGGGATAGGAAAAGCAGTTCAATAAACATCACCAAAACATTTCACAAACTTAGTTATGCAGAGTACAGCTATTTCAACCAAAATGGAATTTGTTTCAGTGCAGCCTTGAGGTGATACTACAGTGAAGATAAAGGAAAGAATAGAAGACATTAGTTGCTGAATAATACAGAGTTTCTTTGAGAGGCAAAGAAGAATTTAATGCATGTGTTCCCATGCATACTGAAAATGTCTTTACAGAGAAGACAGCATTCATAACAGACTGAATGCCCTGGTGGATCTTTCACTCCTGAGGTAGAAGAAAATGGATCTTAAGGAAGCAACTTCTTAGAAAAGACCCATTTTTGAATGGGACACCCAGGAAATACTTATTGACTGCTCCCAAGGGATGTGGTGTTTACAACTTCAGTGGAAACTACGTATTAAAATCATATGATTGATTCTTCCCTCCCAGTATTACTCTTTGAGAAAACACTCACATCAGAGAGCAATAATTGAGACTAAAACCTAATTATAGCGTATAGCCCCAGAACAATGAGGCAGGCTAACTTGCAAAAGATGTAACTGAAGAGTCATAATGGTGTCACGGAGAGACCTCCCAACTAACACAGAGCTGAGTTTAAATATGCAACTGAGCATTTAATAAGTGAGATCTGCGCAAGATCTGGCTAGAATAATGAGCAATGCATATTAGTACTCCAGAGACGGAGAGTATCAACTTTTTGTCTTATTTCGATATTTCAAATTACAAGCCATAAGCATAAATATATACGAAAACTTTTAATAAGAAGCTAAAGTCCCCTAAATTTCCACATTGATGAGTTTGGTGGAAGGGGGAAAACTCCTCCCCCCGACCACCTACACAAAGCGAACAACACTACTAACTGGACACACACACGCGCACACACTCTACTCTCGCCCCCATCCCACTTCGAATTCCCATTCGGAGGCTTGTAACCCAGTCAGGCACTCAGCTCCCAGAGATCATTTACCTTAATGCCAGCAACACACGCACTAGCTGGACTCGCCAGATCCCCGCTCTTTAACCTCTCTGCTATGCAACTAGGAGCTGCCTGCCCGCATCACCTCCTCCCCCGTCCCTGCCAAGCAGCCACACCCAGGCGCGGTGCATGCGCCCTGCCTGCACACCTGGGGCTAGGGGATAGGAGCGATCATCCCCCATTCCTCCCTCCCCGCCCGGGTGGAAACCAGCCCAGCGGCTCCCGCTGCCGTGTCTGGAATGCGGGGTGGGAGCCGCCGATTGGCTGGTCTCTTCCCCTCCGACAGCGGGCGGGGCGCTCGCGGCGCGTGACCCTGTCACCTGAAACTCAGCGCCGGGACTAGGCAGCAAACTGGTTGTTCCTGCAGCGCCGCTAGCGAGCGCGTGGAGGGAGCCGGGAACCAGTTTCGAGTGAGGATGTCCAAGCTTCTAGTGTAAACAAAGGGCGGGCTGGAGCTGTGTCCGAGAAACTCCGAAGTGCGGGGGGACGAGGGGCAGAGGGAGAGTCTCTCACTCTCAGCCCTTCCATGATGGCACTTCACAGACACTTTAACCCTTCAACTGGGATTAATGTGTCGCCCCTCCCCTACTGCCCAGAACTGCCCCACTGAGATCAGTGGGCGATTTGGGGGAACAGTGATAAGGCCCTTAGATTGCAGCTCCTCAGCCCAGGCACCCGTCTTGGAATTGTTTGTAAAATGCCTGTTGTGCTGCAGAAATAAAACACGAATGGGCACAGCTCCCCGGCCTATGGGGGTTAGCGCTAGGAAAAGAGAAAGACAAATTGAGGGGAGGGCATTAGGGCAAAGGTGATAATACCTACCATTCTCCCTCTGCCAGTGCCACCCTTTTAAATCAGCAGTACTAGGAGCAGAGTGGTGCTGTCTCTGTGCACCTTTCCCCTTCCTCAATTGCACACACTGGAAGGAAATAAAAAGAACTGAGGCCTTACAATATATTAACATGTTTTGGGTTTTTTTTGGTGGTATAAACTAAGGTTTGAATTTAAACTGAAATAGTTAGACTAGTACAACCCTCTGCCTGACACTCTAGTATAGGAGTACCTTTTTCAGCTTAACTTAAACACCTTCCTAAGCAACATAAATAAACCCCCAAAATATCTGCATAGAGCCTGGCCTACTCTTAAAACTTAGGTTGACATAGCTATGGTGGTCAGAGGTGTAAAAGGTACACTTTCCTGAGCACTATACCGTAACTATGCCCACCTCACCCCCAGTGTAGAGGCAGCTAGGTTGAGGGAAGAATGCTGTTCTTGACCCAGTTCCTGTTGTTTGGGAAAGTGAAGTTCCTAGAGCAACAGAAAAACCGTCGGTTGTTGGTTTATGAGTCTACACTATGGTGCTTAAACAGCATAGCTGTGGCACTTGCACTATGGGACCTTAGCACCCATAGTGTAAACTTAACTTAAGAGTGTCCAACTGGTAAAACTTTCCCCTGTAAACAAAGCTCAAAATAGAATGTATTTTAATCAGGAGCAAAATAAAATTGAATGGAGATAGTACTTCAGCTTCCTTGAATGCTGTACTTACCTCCTGCAGCCCTGATAAATTAAATGATCTGAGTCCCAAGAGTTGTATTTGTGTGTTAATCACCTGTGGAGATGGACATTTAACTGTCACATTGATATTCCTAAAGCTAGCTGATCCCAGAGGCAGCTAAATAAGAAAGGCCCCTTGCTACTGTAACAAAAGCTTTTGTAAAGAGTGAATGGGATTAGTTCTACTAACTATAGAAACATCTGGTATTGGAGATTGGACTATTTATCCTTGATGTAATTATATTGGAAGCACTAGTATTAGACCTGGAATTATTTTGATACATTAACTAGTGTGGTTCCACCTCTTTGGTAGTAATTAAGACTGATTTACTAATAATTTTCAATGGAGAGGCACCAGCCTCTTTACCCTTTCCCTCTACTTTGTCTAATCTAAATTTAAAAAGTGAGCGCTAGCTTCATTTATCAGAGATAATGACAATAAGGAGCAAGTTAATCTAAATCCTTGGACATGATACAGCTGACCTCCAGCTAGTACTAATAGCCTAAGGATATCTTCTTACTAATGCCATAAAGCAGTGGGTTAAACTTGTGATTGCATTATATTAGTACCAGTGGGGAAATTATTTGCAAATTCCAATAGTCTTGACAGAGTAATCTATATATGGAGATATACTTATCTCATAGAACTGGAAGGGACCCTGAAAGGTCATTGAGTCCAGCCCTCTGCCTTCACTAGCAGGACCAAGTACTGATTTTGCCCCAGATCCCTAGGTGGCCCTCTCAAGGGCTGAACTCAGAACCCTGGGTTTAGCAGGCCAAAGCTCAAACCACTGAGCTATCCCTCGCGCCTATGAAGGGGAGTCTCTGGATATTTTGTCACTTATCCACTGACACTTTAAAAACTCTTGCACCCCAATCTGGGTCTATGCTGGTTATGTGCTATGTATGTATCTCTCCATCCTTGCAACCGATACCTGTAATCCCTAATAACGCAAGCCTGACCCCAGATGTACAGTATCTTCCCTCTTAACCTGTGTATATTTAATTTTAAACATTAACTTTAATAAAAATTTAAATATGTATGTAAATTAAGCTCATCAGGACAGGGACCTTGTCTTCTTTTATTTCTATAAAGTTGTACTGTGTAGATCCTGGTCGACCTACCAACATTGGTCAGGGGCGTGAGCACCATAGTTAAACCAACCTAACCGCCAGGCACAGACATGGCCAGGTCTTGGATTACAGACTAACTGATGGAAAACCCCTTCTATGGATGCAGGGAGCGGAGTGTCTGTACTACAATAGCATAGCTGCAGTAGCACCCATAGTGTGGACATGACCTCAGTAATTACATAAGGTTTAATGTTCTGTTGTATTACAAAATGACAGATTGGATGCATATGCATCCAGAGAAGGTTCTAAATAAGGACTCTGGTAAAATAAAAAATGCAGGTAAATTATAGACTGTTTTGGGTAATTCTGTGTTTTGTTTTTTCAGACTTTTCATTTAAAATTTTTATTTAAAAAAACATAGTTTTGTCTATTACAATAAGCTTTTTACACACTGTTCCCTTGTTAAAAGCTTGTTAGTGGAATTTTTCCTCAAACAGTAGTCACATTAAAGTCTGAATTCTTCCTCCTCCACCCCTTTTCACTCTTAACCAAAACAAAACAAGTTAATTCCAAAGTCTAACAGGTACTATTTCAATACTGAGGAATTGCCAGGGGGTGGGGGTCAAAGTTACATTTTAAATAGCTTTCTATTTACAATCTTGAATATGGAATCTTTACTGTGTCTATTAGGCCAGTGTGTCTCAAACTTTTTTACTGGTGACCCCTTTCACATAGCAAGTCTCTGAGTGTGACCCCCCCCCCTTATAAATTAAAAACACTTTTTATATATTTAACACCATTATATATGCTGGAGGCAAAGCGGGGTTTGGGGTGGAGGTTGACAGTTCGCAACCCCCCATGTAATAACCTCGCGACTCCTTGAGGGGTCCCAACCCCCACTTTGAGAACCCCTGTATTAGGCTCTTTTAAAGGGTGGTTCTCATCCACAATTTTTCAGAATTTGTTAGATCTTTTACTGTAAAACCCAGTTGTTTTAAGTCTTGTTTAAAAAGCCTCTTTAAAAATCATATTTGGAATTCCCAGCTTTTGCCTCTTTTGGAGACAGCAACTAGGAACTCTGATGTCATCTGGGTGGGAATTCAGAACTACAGTACATCCAGGGAACAAAAAGTTAACTAAAACTACATTTGTTGTCTATGGAGTATCCTTTATTGGCCATTGCCACAGTCCTCAAAACCTCATAGGATTTATCAAGGACACCACCACCTTCAATAATACTTCCATACATTAACAAGCCAACTTCTTTTGTTTGGCTGGATGGCCTTTGCTGAAAAGTGCAAAGACATTTTGGAGCCTGATGTTAAGCCCATTGAAGTCAGTGGGAGTTTCCCATTGATTTCAGTAGGCTTTGGACTGGGCCCTTAATGTACTTTTAACATGGTGGTAGGGTGAACAGTGGGATACAGATGTGAGTTGGATGCATCTATAAAGCTGCTATTTACCTTAATCAGGACTTGGATACAGTATTTATTATATATGCTTACAGATTTACCTTGTCCCTTCTCCTCCTTTTGTCACAATAGCAGGCAAAAAAGCCAGATCACTAGTGATGGATCATCCAAAGGTACTAGTCAAGGGTACCTACTATTGTCCTAGAGCAGTGGTTTTCAAACTTTTTTCTGGTGACCCAGTTGAAGAAAATTGTTGATGCCCGCAACCCAACTGAGCTGGGGATGAGGGGTTTGGGCAGGGCTTGGGGATGGGGCAGAGGATTGAGGTGAGGGCTGCAGGGTGAGGCTGGGAATGAGGGGTTCAGGGTGTGGGAGGGGGCTCTGGGCAACAGATTGGAGTGTGAGAGGGGGTCAGGGCTCTGGGGTGGGGCTGGAGATGAGGGTCTTGGGATGCAGGAGGGGGCTCTGGGCAACGGGTTGGGGGGTGAGGGGGGGGGAGGGGGGCGCGGGGCTGGGGGTGCAGGCTCTGGGGTGCAGAAAGGGGCTCCTGGTTTGGGAGAGCTCAGGACTGAGGCATGGGATTGGGGCACGGGGTTGGTACGTGGGCTTACCTTGAGCGGCTCCCGGTCAGTGGCACAGCAGGGGTGCTAACGCAGGCTTCCTGCCTGTCCTGGCACTGCAGACCGCGCTGCGCCCCAGAAGCGGCCAGCATCAGGTCTGGCTCCTAGGTGGAGGCGCACAAGCAGCACCGCCCCCCCAACTCCCATTGGCTAGTTCCCAGCCAATGGGTGTGCAGAGCCAGTGCTCGGGGTGGGAGCAGCGCACAGAGTCCAGTGGTCCCCGCGCCTAGGAGCCAGACCTGCTGCTGGCTGCTTCCAGGGCGCTGCGCAGTATCAGAACAGGTAAGGACTAGCCTACCTTAGCCAGGCAGCACTGCAGACAGGACTTTTAATGGCCCAGTCAGCGGTGCTGACCAGAGCCACTGCAACCCAGTGCCTTCCATTCTGT